TAATATATTGGTAGTACCTCAGAGAAGGGCACAACTGTTTCCACAGCCCTTCAGGTTTTTTGTACTTGATAATTCTTGCATTTTATTTTTAGGTAATAACAAAATCACCAAGTAATCTGTGATGAGCTTAAGAAGAGGTGTGGTATTGATAGTTTTCTTTTTTTATTTCTTTAGGTCAGTCATGTGGAATGTGTTACAAGAGAAGAGGCTGCAGACTTTGTTGAAGATGATACAACACATGGTTAAAATTACATACAGTGTTTTCTGCTGTATTTGTTCTGTTCTTATTGTATAAGGCACTTTATTATAGAACTGAAATTTTTTCTTAACCAGTTACATTTGTTTATGTTCATGTAAAAAAATAAAAATCTACATTTTTTTATAATGTGGAAGCTGTGTTAAGATGGTTGAGAATTGTATTTCTGAAATCTCTTATGTAGAAATTAGAATAATTTTGTACACATGGAAAAACATGTTATTTTGTATACTTGTATATGTGATGGTAAGAACATGGACATGACAAGAATCTTGTTCCAAAGTCTCTTAGATGCAGTATTTTGAGTATATGAACAGAATCACAGAGAAAATTATAGTTTTGGGATAAAGGCAGAAGTCAGAACCTCTTTTCATTCTCTCAATGAAAGAGCATTTCCCAAGCCTTAAATTGAGAGTAAATACATGAACTCCTGAGTGAAATAATAAGTTTGTGAAGTATTTTATTATAATTTGTGTTAATAATGAAGAATATGGATACATCATCTTTCTTACAATGAGCTATGATGGCCATGCAAAGAACTCCCAGGTATCCGAGTATTTCGGGCCATTGAATGTTTGTCTTTAACACTCTGAAGCAGAATTTGAAAGACTAATGCTACTAACGCCAAAGCCCAGCACTGGCAGAGGCTGTTCCATTCACCATGTATTCTTACAACTTACCTACCTAGAACCATCTATTTCATAGTGTTCCAAGTTATTTTCCAAGAGTAAGTTTTTGAAGATGGTTGTCATCTGATATGTAGCATCATATACTCTGGTAGATATTGACCAATGGTTCAGAGGAGCTTATTGCTTTCATCATGAACATGATGGAAGAATCAACACAATTTGTCTTTATGTAATATCCCAAATAAAAATATTGTTTGAGCACACAGAATTTACATGAAATACCATTAAATTTTAAAGGGCAAGAGCCCGAATACATCCATATTTAATCTATTTTGCAACTGCATTATTTAGTTTTTGGACTTATTTCAATATTCAGGTACCAAATGAGCCCCCCCCCCCTCCCCAATGATATGAGTATTGATATAGCTTTAATCCTTGTGCTGTGATAGTCAACTTTAATTAACTGTCTTTGTATTAATTTATGTTATGAAATTGTACTTAAGTCCACATCAAAGAATAATCTCCTTTAGCTGCAACATTCAGTCATCTAAGTATGAAGAGTTTGAAGTGGTATGTGAATGTCATGGGGTACGTGGTATTGAAATTTCATCTTTTGAGCATGGTTTTGACACTTGTGATGTCATTTTTAAATTTTAAGATTGTAAAAATAGATTTTTGTTAATATAACACTGAGAATTTGATTAGTTTGTTGATAATGTTTGTGAATTTCATTCATATATGTTCATTATATTTTGACCATCATAATGATTTAAGATTTTTGCTTAAAAATTATATTCTTTTAACAAAGTAGTGATAAAACCATATAAGGGTTAATACTTTAGATTAATTGCTACCATAGCACTACAATATGTTGCAAAAAATCTGGCTTTATTGCAGAGCTGAGTCCATGTTGCTACATCTAAATCTCTGATATTTTGTTTGGCCATGCTATCAGAATTCAATGCTATTAATAAGTTGGTTTGCTTGAAAACTGACACATTTCAGTGAAATTATTTAATTTAACACTTTACTTTTCTATTAACACATACTGACAATGTAAATTTCCATTTGCTGTACCATTTAGTCAGTAATGATATATATCATGGAGATTTAGGCTTTCTGACCTGTTTTGATTTCTAGGTTAGTTGAAGAACTGAATTCATATTTAATTTACATGGATGAAACTGAATTTTACATCATGAATGCATATTATTGTAATTACATTATTGCACCTTGTTCTTTTATCATCCAAAATATAAAGCGCTTTTAGCAAAAGCTCATTTCAGGATAAGATGGTGTACTCCTAATTTATCTTATCATGCTATCCATAACTCTATTCATATATTGTCATTGTCTGTGTGAAACTATCACATTCTCATACTGTACAAAGAGAGCTGGCATATTGGGTCAGATATCTAAGATTCTGTAGTGTTTCTCTTGAAATATCAATAACAAAATCTTTGCCTTCTTACATTGCATCTGCTTTCTGCTCAGAAAGTTTGCTCTTGTATTGGAATGGAGCATTCTGTTGTTGTTGTTGTTTTTTCCACAGATGATCAAAATAAATTACATATGTTTTATATCTTTGGTATTTAAAAATTATCTTAACAGAGTTTGATGTAACATTTTTTTGCCATATGTGGTTGATACAACTGTCTCATATTGGCATTAGATTAGATTCATAATGGGATATTATAAACATTACTTTATTTATGTTGCAATTATTAATTGTAAACTCTGAAATAATTATATAAAATTATCTAAATTTGTTAAAGGTTATATGTTGACACTGTAACAAGAAAAACACTGCAGTTTTCTTTATGGCTGTTATGTGTGAAGACACCTAAAGCGAAAATGTGACATATATCCCACTGTGCTGTTCCCCACTGGCTGGGAGTTCCCTATGAGAAATTAAAATAGTATATGATGTTTTGTTAGGTAAATGAAATAAGTCAGAATAGTAAAAATAGTTTCATTTTATGTCAGAGTACAAATGCTTAAAATATAACAAGTGTTTTACATTTTAAATGTTTGTGCTGTAATTTAATACTTAAAATTTGCTGTTTCAAACATGGAGTAAGACCAGTAATTTAACATTTTACCAGAATTAGTTGAATCGTCAGTAATGGGCATGGCTTATATTTTGGAAGTCCATGAATGAAGTTCCAGGAAAATAAGTGCCTTCTCTGTACATTCAGGAGTTCCCTGTATGAAGGTGCCAGCATATATTGGTTTGTACAAGTAAACAAAGTGTATAATTAGACTGAAGAGTAGTTTGTGGTGGTAGAAAATGGGTGTGACAGATATGTTATGAAAATGGACAAGTTTGTTATAAAAGTACCAAAGTAATTACCAACACAAATGGCTGTTGTTGATCAAGATGAAGATGCTTGAAAGATAAAGATAAGACCACGTAGATCATTCAAAGGGGTCCGCAGTGGCTGCACAGTCTGAGGCGTGGGCCTTGTGCCGCTTGGTTGTTGGGACCGTGGGTTCAAATCCCACTCAAGCCATGGATGTTTGCGTTTTTCTGTGTTGTGCTGTCCTGTGTACAGGTAGTCTTGCAACGGGCCGATCCCTCTTCCAAGGAGTCCTACCGAATGTCTATAGATCAAGCCAACGAAAAGTTGGTACCCGCAGTGCTCAGGCACTTGAAGAACAGGTCGTTCCCAGTATCCAGATCCTTCAAAAGTGGAATCCACACCTTCATCAAATTCAGTGACGCTGAAGGACACTAGCTGCTGAAGTTACTAAAGAAACTGGCAGAAATTGTACCTGTGGATTGATTATAATAGATAGTTGTCTGTCTTCTGGGTTATAACACAATGTAGTCTGATATAAGTTTACCAACATTTCTGAGGTCTTTGCTGCCTCCATCATCACGGGGACTCATTGCCCTGATGATAGAGGGCAATGAGACCCCCTGATAAAACTTCAAATCCTACAAAGAGTACTGTGGTATATTCATGAGTGCTTCTTTCATAAAGGAGTGAGCAAAACGTATGTAAGGCATTAGTTGTAAATGGATTTTCCCAGTGGTTATTTAGAAGTTCAAGAAACATGAAAATGCTGTTTACTATGCAGCAGTCTTTACAGTTAGTGGTGAAGAAAGGAGTGAATGTTGCTGCATCCCTGTCAGAAGGTAAATTGCAAGTTGCTTGGCTAGCTCTACAAAAAGTCATGTCATCAATAAAGTTATTGGCGCAAGGAAAAGCTATTTGTGGCCATTCTGCGGAAACCAAAAATATAGTGCAGATATATCTTTTTCAGGCAAATGTGCCAGAACTGTAATGCTGGTTTCAGGGAACCAAATATTAATGGATGCCACATAACATTTTGCGCGAAATTATCATTGTATAATTGTGTGCAGCAAAATATCTTTATTTATTCCTGTTTTCAAAATTATATTTAATAATGTTTTCCAACAGTGGCCATCATGCGCTAAAGATGATGGGTAATGGTGTCCAATATTCCGCGAAACGACTTTAACCGTCCCGTTGGGATTGCAAAATCTCGAAGTGTGAGAACAGAGTAGTCGCCTGTGCCATAATGTCTACCAAATTTCATGTAAAACATTACTGCCACGATCAGGTTGATACAGACAACAGGTTAGAATAGTGAAACCTGCAGTGGATCATGTATAATGACGGCATGATCACCCTACCTTGGGATTTCGATAATCAGCCACGATTGTGTTACATAGTGTACAACGTTAGATAGAACGTATTTATTTGGATAAGTGACATATGGCATGACGTCTGCACCGAATTCGATTAATTTCCGTCCATGCTGTAGCTATAAGAATTTGTAATGTATCTAGCATGTTACCATACGAATATAATGAATTCATGTAGTTTGAGTAGTTTGGATTTTCGTTATTAGGGATAGTCTGTATGTGTTAATTGCACGTACTTTAAACGTATGTTCTGTCTCCATTATCTGGAGCAATCGTATCATTGTAATGCTAATAGTTCATAGACTATAGTTTTAATGATCTGTGGAAAGAAACTAAATGAAACATACGCACTTTATTTGGAGGAACCAGTGTTATCATGGACAAGAAAAATACCACGGTGTGTGGAAGAAGGAACTGCTAAAATTTTCCAGTCTCCAATAGCAACGTATATGAGAGTGTTTCTCCCCTGTTTTTGGTAATCGATCTTGACTAAACTCCTTGAAAACAAGAAAAAACATTTTGTACAATCTATGGTATGGTGGTATGAACTGTGTTTTTGAACTTGCTATGGTTATGGCACGTGGAGGTTCAGTGCGTTACGTTAAATGTGACTTGATTGAGGAAGAAACTCGAAAGAAAAACAGTGTATCAGTCTTCATTATCCGGAAATAGAATATCCATACAGGTAAGTGTAGAACAAATGTGAACCTAATGTAGGTATTTTAATTGTTATTATGAACATAATGTGCATACGTTTTATTTCATTGCAGGTTAGCAAGTGTTTGCATAGAAATTGATGTACTATAAATTAAGTTGATTTTTAAAGTGAAATAGAGTTTATAATCCCCGGAAAGTAACCATATTTAATGATTCACCAAGTAGCTTATCCTGCTTGCTGCGTCACCATAAAATGATGCGAAATGCAAATATACTATTCAGAATGTTGCCTAGTTCAAATACTTGAGAACAACAGTGTACTGGTACAATATATGTGTGATAAGGGCATTAAAGTAAAAAATGCACATATAGGGGAGAGGAAAATGCATACAACATTTTGGATGACAAGTTTGGAGTAATTTGGAATAACTGGACATAGAGAATAGTAATTTTAAAATGGTGGGCTCTTGTGAATACAGTAATGAATTTTCAGGTTCTATAAATGATGCAGAATTTAGTGACTAGCAAAATGTGCTATCAGGTTATCAAGGACAACTCTATTCCAAGAAGTGAGTTGGTTGTTGATGACATTTGGCTAATAATTTTTACTATGTTCCTTATAGTTTTTTGCTTTTAGGTTGAGTTCATTTTTGTTCATTGTGAGCTTATCATTTGGCTTCTTTAATAGTATTAATAATATTTAGCAAGGACTTGCAGTATTTTTTTTTGTAGTGGCTTTCAAGTTGATAGTTTTGGTATGCCTATTGTGGATGTTGAGTTCCCTTTTGTGTTTACCCAGTATTCTAGTTTTTTTATGTAACTACCCTTTTTGAACACTACTTTGTTTTAAATGAAAAACTTGTTTCAAAGATTGCCTTTCAATCCCTCAACACACAGTTCCATATGCTTTCCCTTACTCAGTAGTTAAATTTGAAACAATATACTTTGTGGTCATATGTATTTAGAAGAGGTTTGGTCACTGGTTTGTTATGAATGTAATGGTGCTTAAACTGATGACAGGTCAACATACACTTTATTTCTTCCAGGTTTCTGATACATCAAGTGATCAATATTGATGGATAAAATCAGTGATGACAGAGTAATGGATGATCCTGCTGTTGAAGTTCGGGTTATAGGAGGGCCAAAGGTATTTATTCTGTTTGAATATGAATAGTTATTGAAGTTTGAGAAGCATGTGAGATAGTGGAGACATCTACATACTGTAATTTAGTACTGATGTGGGGCATTATGTATGAATTATGCTCCTGTTAAACTACAATGTGAGCTTCATACAACAATGCAGTTGTGTTGAGGGAAACATTTTTTGCTTTGTGGGACAGAAAGTGTAGTTTTTGACTTTGAGAAAAGTTATGTGAACAATTATATTCATAGGGTGAAGAGAGTAATACAATATTTTGATATTCAAGTAACTTTATTTTCATTTCAATAAGGTTAGAAATTTTGTGATTATCCTGAGTAAACTCACTGCAATTATAATCATGGTGGCAGGACCATATTATTTGATAGGCACAGCATGCACTGTGCCTAGGACCCATGAAAACATTTTTTAACCTTGATTTTGATTTGTTATAAAACTTGCAACAATGATTTTTTATTGATACTTCTTTAGCAAGGATAGGCACAGCAAATACACAAGGAGGCAGTCATGTCAATGTCATTCTTTTTTTTTATGAAGAGAAACAAATTAAAACTTGTGATCAAGTTCAGTTATTTCATCACAAAATCAGCAATAAAAATACATCCAACAAAGGGCCTACAAGAACTTTAATGTGACCCTGCATGTGGGTTATTCATTAGTAACTGAAGGATATTTGTTTCACACAAGGTTTTACAATTATGGTATTTATCTCTGGTTTGAGGAATTAAAATAAAAAGTGTGGACTTCTTTAACCAGACTTGAGAAATAAATGTGAAAGGGGAGTGGTTAAATAACACAAGTACTGCATCCATGCTTACATATAACAGAAATTTACTATCTTCAAATATGCCTGTGGGTATTCAGTTAGTAGCTTCATTTCAGACCTGGAATTTGGCTGATCGTGGAGTATAGGTAGTTCAGGTTATTAATGGCTCCATCCTCTGTGTTCTTCCTATGTAGGTGTTGGTTCTTGCTCAGGCTGTGTGTGTGTCACTTCTGGCCATAAGACCAGTTGAAGGAATTGCAGAAATAGCCAGGAAAGAAAAGAAGGTGTAATCCTAAAGTTTTGAGGTAGTAGTTTGTTTTGCCTACTTTCCTTGTCTTGTAAGGAAAGATAATTCTTGAAGTATCATCATGTCAGTTTACCTCCATGTGTCTCCCCTCCTTGTAATACCTTTTGAACCAATTGATATAACTGGTGTGAAAATTGTGTGCTTTTAGAGGCCACCTCACCTTTCTCTTGGTTAATTTCCTGCTGTCAATAATACCAACCTGACAACCATCCCCAGAACTTCCCATGTTTCTTTATCATTTTCCAGTTTGCTTGGAAGTTTGTGGTCAAATATTTAGATGATCAATTACTAACACTTGCTACTTCCTTAATGCTTTCATGTTTGAGGAATGACTTGTTCAAAAGCTGCTTTTGGATGGTAATAAATCAGTAACCATGAAAATTAATTGTGCTTGTGCTTCGATGCTCTAGTACACAGATGGCAAACTTTAGTACTGCCTGAAAATACTGTTGGCACCTGTGATTACAGGTTTTGTTTGTTTTAACATCAGGAGCCATATTTTTTTGTGGAAGGTAACATTTTCTGTTCATTTGTTTCCATCTCAAATACTACGGAAAGAATGGTAAACCAGAACATATTATGACATACTTGATTCTTTATATTGCTTATTACCGATCATTTTTATCCTTGAAATTTATATAAGATTTCAAGAAGCTGTATAAAAAATGAAATGAGTGCCTTTTGTGTATATTTACAAATGCTGCAAACAAACCAAGAATTGAACTGTCTAAAAATATGCAGCAACAGATATTTCGTTCAGCCCATCAGGATTGTATTTGACCAACAAGAATGACTGGCATCACTTTTTAATTTTAATTAACAGCTGATGTAATTGTGACACCAGACGGAGAAAATGTTTGGCATCCTGGGCTGGAATATGCATTTCTTCATAATCATGCAGCTGATTTGTTGTTTTTGAACAGGGAAAAGGCTTGTTTGCTGTGAAGCCTTTCAAGGCGGGTGATGTTATTTTTGAGGAGAGACCATTGGTTTGCTGTCAGTTTGCATGGAATGCTGCATATGGTTACCTAGCATGTGATTTTTGTATGAGGTGAGAATTTTAAATTAATAGTTGTTGGAACAGAGTTTGGCATCAGTTTCATACAGTGAAAAACAAACTTTCATTTGTTTTTATCTTCCCTGGTTGGTTTCTTGTTGGGTGGCACTGAACAGTCAGTTAACCTGTCTGTGTTAATGCCATATAAAGGCAACAGGAAAAGGAAAATTAAAATCTTGGTAATGTGAATGACAAGTCTTCATGCGATCATTCTGATTAGTAACATTCTTCCATTTTTGGTTAGGCTGGTTTTTACCTAGGAACACTGGCAAACCAAGATGGCTGTCTTCTTGGTTGTTGCACTATGTAGTGTGGTAGAAGTTTAGCAATATTTCAAAGGTCCTTAGAGCAGAGAGACATGCTGTATGGCATTACAACCCTGATGACAGCCATTTTTCTGCTCACTGCCATGAGAACTTCAAATCCTACTGGTAAACCAGATTTTCACATGGTGTTGATCACCCATATTCAAAGTAAGATTGTCTTTGTGCATACTATGAATATTTAGGTACAATAGTTGGGAATTTGATTGAATGAGATGTAGTAAGAATACTTTTTGTTGGTCTTATTTGGATTGCGTAGACCACTTGAGGGAGCTCAGGAAAATGTTCGAAGACTTACAGGCAAGAAGGATCTTGTGTTACCATATCCACAGTGCTGTCCCACAAACAAAGAGTCTCACACTCAGTGTCCATCATGTGGGGTAAGGTGATTTTTACGTGTTTTTATGTTTCTGTGTTCCTTTAATTAGAGTGGAATTTTAATTACTTAAATTAAACTATTGGCTTACTCCAACTGATGTAGAATCTCTATGCTCGTAAATGCTAGCCTTTGGAACTTGTTTTTGAGTACCATAGACAAGTTGCAAAGTTTTAATAAAGGTGCATCATATTTTCTTTCCCTTTTGTGTGTTTACTTTGCATGATTGCAAGTTGTCTCTGTGATATTTTAATTTTGAATTAACCAATATTTTGTTTGCTTCTCACAGAAATTAATGATGACTTAAAGTTACAAATTAATTTAGTTTTGAATTAGCTGCATTATAAAGCATACATCATTCAGTTTTACCTTAATGTGCTGTGATCTTAAGCATTCATATTTCTGTTAATATTTGTGTAATGGCCGTTAAATGATGGTAGTAGCAAAACCCTCATTAAATGATTCATAGTTCTTTTCAATATTTGCAGCATTAGGGAAGTAAGACAAGACATTCTGTATGCTATACACCATTTCTTTGTAATACTTCAGCCCTTGTTATATATTCAGGTTCAGTACTGCAGCACCATCTGTAAAGATCAGGCTTGGAACCTGCACCATAGGACCCTGTGCCTTCAGTCACATTCACGCAATGTTAACCATCCTTTGGAGCAACTGAATGAAACTTGGAAGTGAGTATTTTGATATAAAAACTTCTTCTTGACATTTTCATAGATGTTGAATGTGACTAATAAATTCAAGTAGCTAGTTTGTCTTTTGTAACACTAGTACTTGTTGCAGGTACATGCACTATCCTCCTGAAACCGCTTCAGTCATGATTCTGGCTCGAATGATTGCTACAGTTCAGCAAGCAGAGGATCCAGCCAGTGCTTTGAACATGTTCATGCAGGTAATCTGATAGACAGTATTGGATTCCAGTTTGCCTGTTTCCTGTAAGACTCATACAGATGGAGGATGTGAAGATGAGTGTTAGTTGTAGAGTGGTGGAGATTACATATGAAACAGTAGTGGTTTCATGTAGACTACTATCTTTAGCAGAAGATACTCGTGGGTGGTGTAAGGGGTTTTATGACCTTGAGGTCAACAATCTCGATGCAGTTGGCCATATTTGGATCTGTAATTATCTTGTCTGTATAGCATTATACTATCATGGCTACAAAAGTTTGAACAGTGGTTGATGTTTATGTTGGACTGTTGTTTTCAGTTCTGTCATAGAACTGTGAATGAAGAAGAGGCGATAGCACACAAGTTGCTAGGAGAGCAGTTCAGGAGGCAGTTGGAGGTGCTGCGAGAGCTGATTTCACTTGCTCTGTACAGTGATATTGTGCACCAGGTTAGTGCTGTAATAATACTCTCGTAATCCTTGCCATGTGCATGAATTCCTTATGGACTGCTATTAGGCTACAGTAAGGGTCTTTGTAGAACTTACATTTATATTTTACATTTTAGTGGCTCTTGCCAGATGGATTCCAGTCCCTTGTGGCACTAGTGGGAACTAATGGACAGGGTGTTGGTACGAGCCCGTTCAGTGAATGGGTGAGGAAGGTCTCTGAACTGGAGCTTCCAACAGATGACAAACAGCAGCTGGATTCATTCATTGACAAGGTGTATGAGGATTTGAATGAAGGTGGGACAACTTCAACTGAAGCACTTGGATATTATAATATGCTTTGAGGATTAATGGTCTCTCCATAAAACTATTTTGGTTGCCGTCTCTTTGATCAAATTCCTAGGTTTTGATGAGCATTCATCATAAAACTAAATCAAACTATGAATAAAAGAAAGTTTTATTTCCAAAATTAATTTATATGTATAAGGTGTACAGCCCTGAATTTTAAAGCCTACACACTGATATTATTTTTTAATTTTTATTTCTTGAAATTTTAGATTAGTTGATAAAATGGTAGGTACTTCTTCGATATAATGGTTAACAGATGAATAGGCGTGACCTCTGTAATATGTGTTCATTTTATGAACTTTGTGTAGAGAACACAAAAAATGAGATGGTATCCCATGGCAAAGTGTTTTATGAACTTGCTTTTGTTCCACAGAGGTTGGTAGTTTCCTTAACAGTGAGGGCTCTGCACTGTATGCCCTGCAGAGTGTGTGCAACCACAGCTGTGACCCTAATGCAATGCCCAGCTTCCCACACAGCAATTTCCAGCTTGCCATGTGTGCTGTGAGGGACATTGCTCCAGGAGATGAGATACTCATTAGCTACTTAGACGAGTGTGTCCTAGAGAGAAGTCGACACAGCAGGCTCAAGTTGCTTAGGTATGTCTTTTGACGTTCAGATGAATCACATTGTCTTTTGTATATGTACCTGCTGGAGGATGGGAAGGAGTTTTACAAAACCTCATCAGATTTGAAGGTAATAATTGATATGCACCAGACATTTCATTGAATTGTGAGTAAAGATATATGTCGTGATTTATGATTAGGCCAACATAACCATAAATGCAACTTCATACTTTAAAATGAAGTTCTGTTATTTAATTTTTAAGGATGATTTAAAGAAAGTTGTTCTTATTACATTTCTTCTCTATGGGAGGGACTTCGTGTCAGTTTTTCTCAATTGAAGTGATACTTGCCAACTGAGTGTTGGTCTGTCATGAGACCCTTACTTCTCTGTACCCAAATTGTCATGTGTATCCCCAAAATATATTCACATAGATTTACAGGTACCGGAATTACATTTTTAATAAGTAATTTGTGGCAGATATTTGTGATTAATTTTCAAATGTTTTGCTTTCAGGGAAAATTACATATTCACATGTCATTGCTCAAAATGTGAGACTCAGGCTGGTGATCTCGATGTGACAAGTGAAGATGAGTCTGATGATGAAGTTGAGGATGATGGAGGAGGATAGTCAGGGATCAGTACACATATACTGTAGCTTTATGTGACATTCCATTGTTCATTGTACTTTTTCTTTCCAGAAAATATTTTTGAAAATTTAAAATCTATTGCAATAATGAAAGCTGATAGAGACCTTGTTAGCCTGTTATTACTCAAGATTAAACCAGCAAGTAGCCCCAATGATTGTTAACATTCTGTTAAAATTGCATCTGGTGTGGTCCATTGGTGCAACAACCCAGACGACGGCCATATCCTACAAATTAGGTTTTGTTTTGAAATGTAAATTAGTACTAGTTACAATACAGACACAATAGAAGTTTCACCATACAATACAGAATTTCTTCATGGTAGAATTAAAAAGAATAAACATGTTAGTGAGTCCATTGACTATCTTGTCTTCTAGTAGTACTTAACTGTTGGCGTAGATCACTACTAACTTTGGGTGTGGCTTGTCATAGTAGATAATGCTGTCCATCACAGGATTTTGACCCAAAGTCGGTTTACTGTGGGGATGGGTAGATGGATAATCTATGCAGGTATACAGTCTGTAGTCTAAAGACAGTTTCAGCCTTTTTATGTGATGGGTCAGGGATTAGTTTGATATTTCCATCTGCAGGCTGTCATAATTTTAGATCAAGAAATGCAGATATTAGAAAGGTGTTCATATTCACGAAGTATATACATATTTATGTACCTACACGAAGTACAGCACATGAAAAACTTTGTGATAAGTATAGCTGAAACATCCATTATATTCTTTCATGAGGTAACGTTATTGACACAACATTCCTAATAGCAAGTCATGAAGAAACCCTACATAGCTGCTCTTGGGTTTGGTTATGTGAATAAGTATGTGCATGCATTTTATGGTCCAAATTATCGAGCTTGCATTAAGGCTGAAATCTATCAAATGCAGAAAATACTATGTCTAGCAGATTTTTTGTTACAGACAATTGTTTTACATATCCTACACTATAATCAAGTTTAGTAATGGAACAAGTGTAACTACTGCTTAAATCTGCAAATTTTTTTAATGGATATCTGGAATGAGATGTCAGTGTCTTGTATGCATATTTATATTTCATCAAATGATGATCAGACATTTGCATCCCCTAAGTAATACAAAAACAATATTGAAAGCCTTTTTGGGAATGTTCAAATTTAAACTGCTGGATTGTCTTTAAAAATAGTTATAATTAGCACAACAATATGGTAGTCAGAGGCAAAGTGTACTAGGGGCAGTCAAAAAGTTCCCGGAATTGTGGTATAGCACTAATGGTAGGACATACGGTAACGCTTACCTAATCACCTTCAAAGTAGGACCCTTGTGCGCGCACACACACACTTGCTCCATCGATCCTGCCATTGTTGGAAGCACCGGTGGAAGGCTTCGTTTGGAATCTTCTGGAGTTCGGCCGTCGCATTTGATTTGATGTCCTCCATGGTTGCGAAATGCGTCCCCTTGAGGCCCATTTCCAGAGTAGGGAAGAGCCAGAAGTCACTCAGAGCGAGATCCAGAGAGTATGGTGGTTGGGTGATGATGGGAATGCTTCTCTCAGCAAGGAATTGCTGCACAACCAGTGATGTGTCGAATGCGACGACCGAACTCCGGAAGATTCCAAACGAAGCCTTCGGCCGGTGCTTCCAACAATGGCAGGATCGATGGAGCAAGTGTGTGTGCGCGTGCGCAAGGGTCCTACTTTGAAGGTGATTAGGTAAGCGTTGCCGTATGTCCTACCATTACAGTGCTATACCACAATTCTGGGAACTTTTTGACTGCCCTACGTACATTTGTTAAATATAATATTTTAATTTCTGATTGTTCTTTGTCTTCAGTTTTGAAGTAACACAGATTTACTAATGTTGGAATTCAGATTTATAAGCTGGTTACTGCTTTCTGCAAGTTCCACTATAGATACCCGTCCTCGCTGTTTTATAAATTTGGCTACAGCTTCTAGTTCTTCTGTTGATATATAGATGAACTTCCCGCGGTCATCCACAACTCCTGCAGGAATAAATAATATTTACAAGGAGGACAGGGCAGATTTATTCTTACTATCTGTAAGTTGTTTGTTTATTATCAGATAAAAGGCCTAGAAACAGTTATATGTATTAAAATTGTTTGGTCTGTATGTTTATATTATCATATTTTTAGGGATGTTATATTAGCTATACAGTAGGGCCCCGCTTTTCGGCGCTCCGCTTTACGGCGATTCGCTAATACGGCGCTCAACAGCTGAGTCAGAGAAGTGCATCCGGCGCCATTTTATCGTCGCTGATTCAGTCTGTTTACAGCTTTTGTGCGCTCCGCGTCTACGTATTTCTGGCAATTTTTCAAAGATATTACAAACTGTATATTTATATAATTCTAGCTCACCAAACTGTTAGTACCATCGTGAACGCTAAGGAGAAAGTGTTAAATGAAATTAAAAGTGCCACACGAATGAACTCTAAAGTCATAAGAAAGAGAGATAGCCTTATTGCTGACATGGAAAAACTTTTAGTTGTGTGGATTGAAGATCAAACGAGCCACAATGTGTGTACTACTGATATTCATTTTACTTTCATATCGTTTTCTTAGGCCTAGCGCTATTGTGCACTTACTATATGATAGTGTAACATCTTATTAGGCTTTGATATGCATTTGCAAGTGAAAAAAGGCAAAGATCCGCTTTACGGCGATTTTCGCTTTACGGCGGGGGTCTGGTCCCTAACCCGCCGTATAAGCGGTGCCCTACTGTACTGTAAAATGTAAATATTTGCACATTCATAACATGGTAGAGAGGAACTCCAATTTAATGTTTAACAGTGCTTCTAATCCTATCCCCATTATCTTCAATTTACAAGAATGTTTCCAAATGTAAGCATATAATCACTGCACTGTGTTTGTGGACAACGTGTTGCTCCAGGCATTTTATTATGCCAACAGGCTAGCCAATCCCTCAACTGCATAATGTTCCGGTGCCTTTGGTCCTTGAATGTTAATTTATTATAAAGTAAAAGTACATTTTCAAATTTGGTCAAATTTCTGTGTAAATATTTATTTGGCTCTTCGATTACTTTTCCAGTAATTTTGTCTTTCCCTTCACCATATCACTCAAAATTTTTCATCCAAGAAACATAGTCAGCATGGGTTTCTGAACCCTGTTTTGGATATTGTTATCATACTTGTTTTCACCATCTTGAACCACTGTTATTCCCTTAAACCTAGGAATGTCATCTGTAAAATGTAACAAGGAAGAGGGAAATACATGGATGAGGGTTGGTTGCAAAGTGAACATACCTGTAAGTAATCCTTCTGCTTGGAGTTCTTGGATTGTGTTAATAACATGCTGAGTCTTCAATTTAAAATGGGCAGCCAAATCTTCTAACACAACTACTTTCATATTCTGCAACAGAAAGTGTTGGGATGAACTGATCACACCTTATTTTCTTCAGCAGTCAGCATGTTAAAGCTAGCAATAATTATAAATTTATAATTATTCAATTTAGTGATGAATGTCAATGCATAAGAAGTGCTTTCAGTAGAAGTTTCTGATTATATTAAATTTAATGGATATAAACTCAGAGTTTTGAATTATTGCAATGTATGTAACTCTTTATGATTTATACAGAAGTTCTAGGTACGTTTGTGGTCTATTTGCATAATGAATTTTACATTCCTAAATCCAGTGATTCATTAATTGTCCCAATCAGACTGAAAGCACCTACATTATGTAGCTCTAACGTCACTCCCACCTCAGAATATACATGGTCATTGCACTACTGTTATTGGCAGTAGTGAATTTAAAGTATCTGGATTCATGATATTCAAACTAAGTTTCAGAAAAATCTGTGAATTGGTTGACGTTACGTTTTCTTATAAAATAATGGAATACTAAAAATGTAACAACATCTGGAGTCAGTTACTTAACAGCAACACAACAGTACACCTTCACAAGAATCAGAAATTAAAACATGAACATTTAGTACCTTGATATGGTTTATGAACTCCTGAAGTAAATTCTTTTGTTCATCATCTTCACCATCATCTTCATACCCTTCTTCCTCCACACTGAATGCAGTTTTCATTTTCAAATACTCCTCATGTTCTTGACGTTCTTTTTCTTCACGTGCTTTTCTTTCCCCTTCAAGTCGCTCCTGTTCTTCTTGTTTCTCCCTTTCTGCAGCCTTCAGTCTCTCCTCCTCTGCTTGTTCCTGTCGCTTCTTCCTCTCTTCTCTGGATCTCTCCTCTGCCTATATATACAAACATGAATCAGTAAAATCAACTTAATAAGGCAATGTGCATGCACAATGTATCTGTGTGTGTGCTTTTAACTTACTGATAGCCTCTCCCAAAGTTCTGCAACCACCAATACTGGTCATTATTACAGTCAGCCCTTCTCAAAGACTGGATATCAAGTATAGTTGACTGTTGTCTTGTATCAATATATGATCTATCTGATTATGTGCCTTTCCATCAAGATAAAATCCAAGAGTATTTATGAATTTTGTGGTGTGAGAACATTGTACTCTTAACAATCAAATCTTTATGTGGCAAGTTCACTACTTTGGCCTTGTCATCAATATTGGTTTCCTCTGTGTTCTCATTTCTGTCACAAGACTATACTCCAAGAATTTATATTGGGTGAGGTTGGTGGCCGTAACAATCTTCAGTATAATCCAATGACCTGATATTTTGCTGCTGTTGCAAAAAAACATCTGTAGCATCACACAGGATGATTATGAATGACATGGACATGAGATCAGGCTTTAGGAGGGTGTATTTATTGATATTTTGAGCATTTCTGTATGATCCTCTTTTGGTTTTAATTAAGGTCTTTCTATACTTCTGGTAACATGGGGTTTATGTAATTGAATGCTATAATGAATTTTCTATGGTTTTTCCATGACAGTGTATTGTCATTTAATTATTCACTTGTACTAAACTTCAGGAAAGGTATGTTATTTTTTTTTTCCACAAGCAACATCCAAATTTAAATCCAGTATAAAATACCTCTCTTTGAGCTTTACGCTCCGCCTTTGCTTCCAGCTTGGCCCGCTTTTTTGCGCCAATTTTTCCATCAGGAAATTCAATATCTTCACCCACGTCCTGTACAGTTCCATCCTCATCATCTGCTTCATTCTGCTGATGAGCTAACAGAAAAAGAGTCTTGTTTAGAAACCAACTGCTACCCTACCTATTCTGTAGTTTTGAAAGCAGGTGGGAGGGAAAACTTCTGTATTACTAGTTCTTCAATGCACTTTGTAGATAGATGTCAAAAGCTGTGAGCATGGCTGACATGTATGCTATTCTGGTTTTTATGATCTAGATAATTTCACATGGAATGACATTCCTACATACTGTCTACAAGGGCATAGATAGTAAGAATGCAATATGATTTTTACCAGCTGCCCTCAGTTGTGCTCTTGTATTACGAGCACCAACTGCTCGTCTTGGAATCTGTCTGTCATGAGCCCGTTCCTGTGGTATATCTCTTGTAGGAGAGGTTTCTGAGGAAAAAAAATGTTGGTTTTGATGAGTTACCAAATACAACAGCCTTGGTTTTCTGAAGAATGTGTGAATTCAGTGTGCTCCATACAAACCTTTACCCTATGCACTACTTAGGCTTATTACTGCAATCGAAAGGTTTTTTTTGTAACAGTTTAAATTGGGGCTGAATCCAATGAAAACTGAATGTAGTGATATTTGTAAGATCATGTTTAAAATTAATTGTATTAGGTCCAATCTTCCCATGCTGGCAGAAAGACGTTTTATCGATTTTGCTAAAACAGACAATTTCAAGTGGATCTACCTCAATTACTGTTCCATTCACATACGACAGTCCTAACCTTACATAAAACTTTCCCAGCTGGTAGCAGAATTCTAGCAATGTCAGGCAATGTGCTAATTTAGGTTTATAAGAATACCTTGAATGACGCGTTGTTTAAGGAGTGCAACAACAAATATAATAACAATCAAACCAGATGCAATTGAAATTAAGAAAATCAGGTCCATTCTTCGCTACATCAGATGTAATCCAACCTCCCCACATTCAACAATCGGCGGTGTGTGTGCATATTGGTTACCTATGTTGGTTACTCTGAACGAAGTACAATATTAATCAAGAATTAATTTAATGAAAGTAAAAATAATTTAATATTAACATAATATACAAAATAAAATAAGTCCACATTATTTAAGTCATCTGTTAATACGTAAGTAACAGCAATATTATCAGCTATTCTAAAAACTTGTATGAGAAAAACAATATTTGAGTTGAATATTAACTAACGTGTGTGACGTGTGTTTGTCGTGGTTGTGTTATTTGTCCCTAATTGTGGGTTCAATATGTTGAAATTACTTGGCATTTTAACGGGGTATATATTAATTCTGCTTCCCCTATCTTCAGGATTATATTTTCATATAGGCGAAACTGAGAGAAAGTGCTTTATTGAAGAAATTCCTGATGAGACAACTGTTATTGGTATGTAGTGTTTTGGTGTTCCAAAATAGTCATTTGCGCATCTGATACACGGCACTCAATTTTGAGGATTATTAGGATTGTATTTATGGCCGATATATGGCCTCTTTCATTTTCAGTCAATTACAAGGTGGAACTTTATGACCCAAAAAGTGGCGGCTTCATGCCTTCCAGTCCCGGAATTGGTATGCATGTAGAAGCACGGGATCCCGATGACAAGACAATCCTTTCGAGAGTAAGTGGACATAAAGTACGTCGTTATTATAATAATCTTTATTTGTTCACTATAAATATATTTTGATAACTTCATACGTATATTTCAGGTTTACAGTTCAGAAGGAAGGATATCCTTTACATCTCATACTCCAGGCGAACATATTATTTGCCTTTATTCCAACAGCAGTAACTGGTTTAGTGGTTCTCAGTTGGTAAGTGGAGACTTGAGTAATTTATGTGCCTAATAAACTATTTGTCATGCTGGAAGAGCATAGGAATAATGTAAATTTGGTACATACTAATATTTCGAGAAATATATTATCTATGTTAAGCCCTGAAAATGGAGGCAGTATATTTTTATGAAGCCTTATTTACCTAAGAGTCCACACAGCATCCAAATCCATATCATCACTGCTGTGAGAACCTCAAATCTCACATAGTGTATACTTTGTATTTTCAACTGTTACTTCCAGCGTGTTCATCTAGATATCCAAGTGGGTGAGCATGCTATTGACTATGCAAATGTGGCTCAAAAAGAGCAGCTTCCTAAACTCCAGCTCAGAATAAGACAGCTTCTGGATCAAGTGGAACAAATAACAAAAGAACAGAACTACCAGAGGGTAAGTTGATGCATTCAGTAATATTGCTTCTTCAGTATAACAGCAGTATTGTAACATTATTCTTGATTGATCCCTAAATATGCAATGTGGAATAATTCTTAATTCACAATTAACTCGGCTGTTTGTGGCCAGAAGAAGACACCCACTTACTTCAAATAAAATAACATTATTACATTTGCAGTTAAACAGTGTATGTATGTGTGTGTATATATATATATATATATATATATAATCTTAGCTCTTGATCTACTGAATTTGAGAGTTGTCTCCTTGCAATATGAGAAATGTCTTAATACCAGTAACTGGTAAATGGAAGTAATGATATTTTGTTGCTAGTGCCTATGACATTAACTGCTCAAATACCAACTCAAATTCATTATAAATTTAATAATTAATTTTAAATTAGATAATATTATTCTTTTTTAAGTACCAGAATCAGTTTTATACGTTGCAAGTTTCATATTCCTGGAAAAACTATTATGCTACTTGTTCATGTGTTACAATCATTTAATTTTATTTCACAGTATCGAGAGGAACGTTTCCGGCAGACAAGTGAGAGCACTAACCAAAGAGTCCTGTGGTGGTCTGTTACACAGACATGCATCTTACTGGTAATGGGGGCCTGGCAGATGAGGCATCTCAAGAGTTTCTTTGAAGCAAAGAAGCTTGTGTAATATTTGATGTGGGGATTGAAATGTTGCATTGTAAATACATTCATTTAAAGTGGTGATGTTAATGAATGTTACATGTGCTCACTGCATGGCACATGAGCTTTGTAAAAATATAGCAGGCTAAGACATACAAAACAATTGATAGCTGTATTAGCTGCAAGGACAGTCTGTTATATCCAAGGGCATGCTGGATCACTTATGTTTGGATGACCTAATGTTATTCTATTTTTCATGCTTTGTACTTTGCTCCTCTAATTGTTCAGATGTCGTGTTGTTGTAGATTCAAAACCTTATTAGAGTGGTTCCCTTTATACAGCATGCCTTTGATGTCTAGAAGAAAGATGCCATTTTTCAAATGTAATATTTATTACCAACCAGTCATATGTAAAGTGAAGAGGAAGTTGAAACATCTTTTCTACACCTGTGTTGTACATACCAGTTTCATATGTTGAAGTTTACTGCAATTGGAGTAGCCCGTGGGTTGAGTTCTGATGACATTTACAAAGTGGGAACTGACCCTCCTGGAAGGAGCCATTGACATTTTTCAGGTGGTGTGAAGTCTTCTGAGATACAGGGAGCTATATATGTCACAGCTAGTAAGTCACAAATTTCAGGTTTGGTAGAATGTGTGCTCTGTGAAGAAAGGGGGCTAGTTATACTTTGTTTCAAAATGAATTGCTGACATTGGTTTTAAGGTACTTCACTCTATGAGAAGTTAGCAGGAGTCAACAGCCTGGATTTAGTAGACAGTTATATGTCTAGTCCACACTGGCTGTTTTAAAAACATTTAGTATTGGTATAAAATGGAAGTAGTAAACAGAAAAAGTGATATTGTAATTTTTACAGCAATTGAAATCTTGGTGTACAAGGTGTTGAGAAATAAACTACACATCTAATTTCCTACTTATAATTTGTGCGCTTACAATGTTGATTGTGCTAACAATTCATGTTAACCTATCTTTAATGAGATACTTCTCATGCTTTTGTTATTACTATAGTCCGGTACTAAGACTGGTGGAATATGGTTTCAGTACTTTTGTGTGTAATAATAAAGATAGTGAAATAAGTATTGCAGATTACTGGATTGTTCACTACCAAATTCAGTATTTGGCGAGCTATTTTTGGACTTCATTTGTTCCAACCCAGTCTGTTGCTTTCTCTCATTTCTGTAACATAATACAGTAGAAAGTAGTAAAATTAAGCATCCTCTGGTCTTATGTACTAAAACTGTGAAACTGTGCTTTGAGTGATGGCATCTGTTCAGCAATGGGTTCCTCGGGGAAAATTTTGCACTAAATTATATCATAGGTGGCTGTCTGTAGATAAAATCATATGACTTTTTTAAATTATTTTTCTACAGACTGCTGTCTGTGCATGTCATACTCTAGTAATAATAATAATAATATTCGGTTACTACAAATGTTTAGAACAATATATGATAAACCTGAGGCCATGTGGTCATAACAGAATAAAATTTGTTCTATATTCCTACTTGTGTCAGAAGTTCATACTAAGAAAACAGAAAATGTTCACCATGTAAGAATGAAGCAGACACAGAAGTGTCAAATGAACTAAAATACAAGAAAATTGGGATTTTAAAGTTAGCAACAATTTGGTATTTTTGTTGGCAAGTGTTGAAATTAAATCTGACATTCCTCCGTTCAAAAAAATAAAAATGCAGACCTTTAAGACCTAAAGCATATTGATCTTCTGAATGTTATTGCTATAGTGTGGCATGTCAATTTATACCTTCTCCTCCTAGCCATGAATTTATAAATGCAGACAAAGGATGGAGAAAATAGACAGCGAAGGAAGTAATTTAATTATATTCTCCGTGCAGTAAATATGGGAAGAATGGACAGCAGATGGAAGCATGAATCTGCAGTGTAGGATACAGAAACAAATGACAATAGGCAGCTGGAACTGAATGATGTAAATTTTTGTCACTTGGATAGGTCAGAATTTATGCCTGGTCTTTATTGGGGTGAAGGAAAACAAAAGAATATTGACTACACCTAATTTACATTTATTAAGTTTGCACAGAATTCCAGAAAACCCTACACTAACAATGCCCAAGAGCCATTTAAAACTTGTCTTCCACTTTCTCTAAATGGCAGAGTACCTCCCAATAAGATTTTAAAGGCAAAAGAAACTATCTTTAATGAAAAGGAAGTTATGTTTCATGCTATAGCATTAGAGTTTATTACATTTACAAGCAATTCAGATTGTGTCATACAAGGGATTTACAAAAAGCAAAGAACTCTGGAAAAAAATATTCTTTCAGTTTTGGGAGTATATGAAATTACATCTCTTTTTTGCAGATAAGCTTAATTTCGAATGGAGTTTCATTCTTCTGCTTAGTCTGTTTATCTTCTTTTGACACAGGAACAGGTGTATCTGGTGGGAAACCTAATGTGAAGTAATTTTTGTTACAGATTCGCCCTTTTCTGCAAGAATGTCTTCAATATTCTTCTTCTCATCAGAAAACCACTTTAGATTATCAGCAATCAAATGCTTAACTTTGCATCCTTGACAACACACAATCACAACACCTTTCTGGTATGAAAGTTTTGATATGTGTGTCACATTACGGGTATTGCACTTTTTACATGTAAATACGAGTTGGAATCGTCCTGATAATTTGGCATCTAACGATTTCGATAATGGTTCATCCTCCAATTTTGGCTTGTCAGCATCTTTTACATAACATGCAGCATTTTCACCCTTTTCACTAAACACTTGTAATGATTCTTTATCCTGTTTCTTTTCACAATGATGTGCCAAATCCTGATGAAACTGGCTATGTCTATGATGTGAAAAAGTTGGTACAGCTAACCTCAACAAATCACTTCTGATGGTATGCCCATTATAATTTCTTTCCGACAGTATTGGAAATCCATTCAGCAAACGTTTTGTTAATGCTGGAACAACAAATGCAATTTTCGGATTCCTAGTGAACATGACTTTAATATCAGAGCACAAAATGAATTATTTTATTGAAATACAATTTAACTGCTCTTCTATACGGAAACATACCATCGCTTCCATGACAAACTACCATGCACACCTGCCATCTTTCGGATATGGCTTCGTACATAGGCAATTCTTACAGCCTTCGACTGCTCAGTTGAAATTGAAGTTGGCTGTCGTTCCTCCAGAATGTAAACGCCGATTTGTTACATTGTTATTGTATTTTTAACTGATCTGGTTATCTTAAGCTTCCCTGTGTTCCTCCAGACAAGTGCCCAGATAGGTTATTTACTTATATTCATTATTCACCAAATAATCATTCTAATACGCTACGTTATAAATTCTACGAAACCGAGACTGTCTCAGTTTCTTGCTACGTTATAAAATCTACGAAACCGAGACTGTCTCAGTTTCGTAGATTAAATAATTGATTTTATATGTTGGCATTATTTGCTCAAACACATAGTCATATTCTGTGAGTTCATTAATAATTTATTCACTGTTTTTTTCAGAATGTCAGGGTTATAGTTTTTCAGATATTCGGATTTATTTCAGGACGTTATTCGTACATTTTTACCACTGATAAAGTTGTGGTCATGCCTTTCAGAATTATGGATGGCATTTACAGACAAATTGTTCGAACAAAACTATAATTTTGTGTTCTTTGTAGAAAAATGTATTTGCGGCTAAGCCTGCCAATTTTCGTGACGTTGCCTAATTTTGTGTTTTTTGTAGAAAAATGTATTTGCAGCTAAGCCTGCCAATTTTCGTGACGTTGCCAAAATTGTAATTTTGCTTTTGATTTGGTGTTGTAGCTTTTATGGAAATCGAATGTGTATTACCGTTTGGGCAAAAGCTCGCCATTGGAATCTATTCTGAACCAACGGAATCTAAGCCAAACTCTGTTTCTCAAGGGCCATTTTAATCTCACAGATTGTCTGTATCCTTTGGACTTTCAGATCCACAAATACGAAGTACTTTTTGTTTTGGGCACTTACTACACAGTTTGTTGGTTACAGTTGTCGACCATTTTCACCTCAGATCTTACCAATAATATTTCAGTATTACCAGGGCATCAAGAACGTGAAATCGGACTTCTGTCACCTACAAACAACAAAACAAAGCTAAGCTTAGCTCTTTGTTCTAGAATCACAACAATATCTAGTGTTGTCATAGTAAGGTCTTTTTGCAAATACGAGAACGACGTATTCATATAAACTGCCCCTGGTGCGAGATGCGCGCGCACATATTTAGCCAGGCAATCCTGCCTCCTGGCGGATTGTGAATGAATCAGAATGTATGGTGTAGTCAGTGGAAGGAGCCCGGTTAGTGCTGTTGTATTCATCCGTGTGCAACTAAAAAACAGTTGAATGAACACTAAATAGCAGGCTAGTCGTGGATTAAACCTGAGGAGTGACAGAAACTAGCCCGGGCTCCATCCATTCTATTGTTTTACAGAATTAAAATTGCAATAATCTTACACTTCAGCTCACAGTGATATGTTTTGAGAACTGTCATTAGAAAAAAGCTTGCAGGCAGATAAATTGTTTTGAATTGAAGTACTTTCATTACTAACCCTCTAATGTGGGAACATGGTGAATCAAAATGTTTCATTCTTGGTTATATTTTAAATGTAATTGCCGTTACAGACTGTCAGAAGTGATACAAAATAGATGTGAAGTTTCAAAGATTTGTAAGGACATTTCGTATTACACGTAAAGGTTATAAGTGGACTGTCGAAAAAAACTTAATGTGGTTTTGGGTCATGTGTGTGCAGTACTTGAATCAAAAGAGAACTGATATTTTATGAAAAAAGCAAGTGTCTTAAAAAAAGTTAAAATCCATGTCCTTTTCGGAAAAGCGTATCACTTTTTCAGACTACATATAACAATTTTAGACCCAGTGTTTAATTTTTTAAACAGAAGATATTGCAGAACAATTTATACTGATCATAAAATTAGTTACTGTTTGTTCAGTGAATACCGCTGCGTGTGAACAATGATCGTTTTGTAGGTAATCAAATTGGTGCGATCGATTTGTTTTTGTCGTCGAGTGATTTATCCCGGCGACTGTTACAATGGCGACCCCTCCTGACAGCCCCATAGACGAGGCTCTCTTCGAGCTGGAGCCATCCAGGGTTCCGAAACACAGACCTGTGGCCTTGGAGGACCTCTGCAGACAGACGAAGTTCACACGCCAGGAAATCAGAGTCATGTACAGGGGTTTCAAACAGGTTAGTCGAATGGGGTGAGATCTTCCATTCATTAGTAATTATTCTAGGACTGCGTGGTCTATATTGTCTGTTCAGCAGCTTTATTAAGTGATTGTTTACATTTCCAGCAACTTCCATCGTCAAATGTGCGCGGGAAACTAGTAGAATATGCATACTTTTATTGTTACATTGTAGTTTAACATGAGGGTATCTTTTTATATGGTGAACAGGTACATTAAGATGGAATGATTTTGTATGGTACGGTGAACCTAGATGCTGGTCAAAGCGGCCGCGTGGTCTGGGGCGTGGGCCTTGATTACTGGAACCATGGGTTTGAATCCCACTAAAGACCTTGTCTTCCTGTGTAGTTAGAGGCCCTCCTAAGGGCTGATCCCCCGCCTATGGAGTCCCACAAAATCTCGAAACACATATTTGAAGCCGCCAAGGTCCGTCACGGACTGCAAAGAGACACGCACAGACAGACAGACAGACAGGCAGGCAGCGAGAGAGAGAAAATAAAGCCTAAATAGGACTCAGATTTGGTGACAGTTTAGAAGGCTTGGTTAGATTAAAACAAATTGTTATGTCTAATGGGCCTAATTACAAAAATCCTCAAATATATTGTCACATTTGCTTGGTTGCCCTATTGCAATGTATAATAATTCTTCCGTGATTTATAATCAATGAGATTTAACCCTCATAAATATATTTTGTTTTCCATAAGCATTTCGTTAAATACGATATAGGGTTTCCTTTAATGTAACTGGAATACTTCAGGCATTCGTAGTTCAGCACTTCACATAAACATCATGAATAATTGTTGCATTTATGTATAAGCCTGCTCGTATTTAGTACCAGACGTTTCGGCGCAGGCTAGTGTCACCCTATCTTTGTATGTCTAATTCATTATGTAGAGGCTTTGACCTCAGTCATGTTTAACGTCACTGTAGAAAACGGCTCCAAATTGCATCCATCAGAGTCACAGAAAAATCTTACAAAGTCGCAATACAAAAAGCGGAGCGCAGGAGAATGAAGACAGCTCAGAAATTGCAGAGTAACAAAGATATCAACGCTGTACTGTTGACGTTGATCAACGTGAAAAAAAGGGGGGGGGGAAGTGAAGTATTTTCGTAGTCTTCAAGGATGCAATTTGGCAACGACTACTTTTGGGCTGACGTCGTTTTTTGGAACACTAATTTGTAAAATTAATTCCGTGGAGGAGAAAACGTCTAGAGAAGCTTATAGCAGCTTGCCTAGTTAAGAAATTCCCTACCTTTTATGGAGTACGAAGGTTCAAAAGATCTATTCGGAAATGTAAACTTAACAAAATAGGTTCTTATATATCTTACTATCCACGAGGTTTGTTTATATTCCACAACATTCTTATAGTGTTAATTTTTATTTATTTGTGGTTTATTTAACGACGTTGTTAGTAACTCTGGGATACTGGGAACGACCCGTTCTTCAAGTGCCTGAGCACTGCGGGTCCCAACTTTTCGTTGG